GTCCTTATCGCTCTCTTAGCGAATCCTGCCGAGCACGGGAACTCACCACTGAAGAGAAAGTCCATTTGGTGCGCTCTTTTGATTCTCTTTAAAGCTCATTCAATGGGCCATCGGAAAGCTCTGAGTCACTCGGATTTAGCAGGTGAACTTCAATTTTTGGCACATTTTTAGAACACAGCGTGTGGGGCACGTGAATTTTATTTATTTAATGGGTTTATTTTTCCAATTTTTTTGAGCCTAGCTCCACTTACTTGTTACAATATTATTTTATACTGGATTTTACTTCGCTTTTCTTTGGGGCGAAGCCCAAGCAAATGCGACTTTACTTTTAAAATGTGAGGACACCGCTTCCCTTATGGGTTTGGTGAGTGAAACCCAGCAAATCTATCTGCCATTCGTGGCTTCGCTGGCGAAGGTCCTTTCGGCCTGGCTTAGACATGTTAATTCCGACTTAATGCTGTTTAAGTAAAGCCTCAATATTTGCGCCTAATACGCATACATGTGTTATGAATGTAGGCGCTTAGTCACACACACGCACACTCAAATATGAGTGACTTACATGTGTAAGTCGGAAACACGACGAAAACAGATGCTATCTTGCATACATTTAGGCGCACAGGACAGTTGGTTTGGGCCAAAATGAGGCTGGGATTGGGAACTGGAACCAAGGCGTCAGTCACGTGCCCCCAAAGGGGCCAAGGGGGCAGAAGGGGAAGCGGGAAGTAACGCATTGGGGTCAGTGACGTAGCCTGTGGAGCGATAAGCAAACATTGTCCATCAAAAACACACCAATGCCACCTACAAACACACTACACACACCCACACCCACACACACCGTATTGAGCATGACATATTTGTCGATTTGCAAATTTATGTCGGGCTGCCAGCTGACCATTCCCCACCGCATCCCAGGACTGCCAGGACTAGCAGGACTACCAGGACATTGGCTTAGATCGAGCCAAAAACACGACCAGCACAACCCGACCGCACAACAGGGGCTCCGAAATTAAATTAAACAATTTATGAATAAAATATATGGCTGGCTGGTGGTGTAACAATTTAAATGAAGACCTGACGCAAACAAAGGCCACCTCAAATTATTAGGTGCATATTAAATATTTAAACTAGTTCTTGTCCTATTGGTTTTCTGGTGGATAATACTTAATGGTGCTTCAGTTGAAAGCTCGTTAAATGGTGCGAATCCATCGGATACTTCAGTTCTAGGTAGGCTTTCACAGATAAGGTCAGGGGAATAGCTCAACGAGCATATGCTTATTATTGTCAGTATTATTCAATTACACTTTTAGAATTTCGATTGATTTAATTGAAAGTTTGCTGTTTTTCGAATATTACCACAGCGAATTAAACATTTTCAACGTTTTCCCTTTTACTGTATCTGCAAGCAAATGAATAAAATTCCGAAAAACAATTCAATTTATTTATGAAAGCGCTAAAATTACCAATTAAAAAATAAATAGAAACGGCGAAATACAAGCATGAAAGATTAAATTTGAATTTAAAACCCCGCGACGGACTTTCGCGAAATTCCACTTTAAAAGTGCAAACTGCCGGACAGTTTGGGCTGCATCAGTTTAATAGCCGCCAACAATAGAATCCCTATGAAGTCAATGATTCTCACAAGCGCTTTGCATAAAATTATTCAATTACATTTTAATGTGGCATACTTTGGGCTGATTTGTGCACAACGCCCACTAACCAACGCCCACTAACCCACACCCGCAAGAGGCAAACACTTACTTGGGCACGTTCGCACGGGTGGGCGTGGCAAAACACATGCCGACACACACTCCATGCTGCCCACTTCATTAAAAATCCTGTCAATACTTATTAAACTCAAAAATCAAATCAATTTTGCGCTATAATTACAAAAATGTCTGCCGCCGCTCGTAAAGTGCTCACCAACACCACCACGAGCACAATGCACGTATGTATGTACGTATGCACGTATGCATGTATGTGTACGTGTGCATGTGCAGTTCTATAATACCAACACATAAACAAACAAATGTCAATTAAAAAGTAAAAATTGCTAGAAAATGGCGCTCGACCTGACTGAAACAAAAGGAACTAAAGCCATCCAGGACGACAGACATGAGATGTGAGGGGTGGGGGGAAGGAAAAGGAGCGGGGGCGGGGGCGGGGTCCTGTGAGGCTGCCAGGACGACTGGCTTTGAGTCCTGCATTCGACAAGCAGAAGCTTTTGGCATTTGTCGTGCATTTTGTGTGAGCGCACAAACTTTTTCGGCAAATGCCAAGCGAACATTTTTCAACGCCACCAGTTTTCTGCTGCCAGTTTTCAGTTTACAGTTTCCAGCTCGCAGTTTTCCGAGGCCCAGTTTTTCCCGTCCGCGATTTCTGGCCGTTGTTGCTCTTTTCGCCAGTTGCCACACTGCGCAATTGGTACACGTTGCTCTGCATTTCGCCAGGTTTTTGGGTTTAGGCTTGCCCAAGCTCGCGGAGGCGGAGCGCCGGATTGGGACTTAGTTAGTTACAGTGAAAAGCGACTAAGTGGCAGCGGAAGAGTTAAATTAGTGACAAAATTGGTGAGTGGCTGACGCTGGCGAACGGAAAATGGCGAACGGAACGGGAGGCGCGGGAGTCCACTGGGCATTGCTGCATCTCTGCCTGGCCATCCCATCTGCCCCTTGGCGGATGGTGATGTCCTGATTAGAACAAGCGCAGAAGTCGATGGGCCATGTCTGATTTCTGAAGGGAAGCCAAACACAAATGGTTCAGGATCAATTTATAATGAAAACCTCGAATGCTGCATACATGGGAATTTAATTGGATAAGCTTGTTGGTAAATGAGAAGGGGGGTACATGTTATAATATGTATTTTGAACTCATAGAATACTATTCTTTTACGACAAACCCTTCAATTATACCTATGGATATAATGGATATATCATAAGCGTGTTTGTCTAGTTCCACGCAGTGCACTCTGTACGCAGCATTTGTTTTCAAAAACCCTAGTATCAGTTTTTAATCCTTTTCTACATTATTTACTCAGATTTCCCTGGCACTGGCCACTCCGCCTGCAGCTGGCCAAAGAAGCCTCCCTGTCGCGGATGGCACAAGTGCAAAAGCCGAAGTGGAAGGACAGCTGCAGCGCGGAGTGCTTGACACGCTGGCCAAGTTGCCATTTGCCACTTGAAGCCCAGAAGGAGTGCGCGAAATGAAGGGGCAAGGACTTGGCCTAGACAGGCAGAAAGGACTCACTTCGCGTGCCGCTCGCTGTGAATGTATGTGTACTGTGTATATAAAATGTGTATCTAGATAAATAAGTATAAAAGCGGGAGAATGGCAGGCCGGAGGAAAGCACTCGCGACTGAAATCAACAAGCAACAATTACAGAGACAGATGAGGCACTCGGCAGGGTGGAGCAGCAACACTGTGAGACTGAGCTCCACTCGCCACTCCCCCCGCCGCTTCCGCCCACTTTTATCCTTCGACTGACAAAGATCGAAGACGTTGACAATGGGCGAGCGCTTCGGCAGCGATAAGTGCATTGCTCGATAATCGAAAATGAAGCAATAAAAACAAAAGCCCGAGCAGGAAGCCAAGTCAGGAGGCGAGGATGCCAAGGGGCGTGGCAGGAGGCTGACTGTGTGCCAAGTAGGCAACAACAATTATTTTCCCTGCCGTGATTGGGGTTGCCCCCACCCCCAAGCAGCCCACCCCTTGCCGCTTAATTTTTCAGTGTTGTGGAAAACGCCCTCCCCTCGTTCTCGACTGCTCATGCATAAATAACATCGATGTGAGCAATGCGTCTGGTTATCTGAAAATGTTTTGGGCCCTTCGTGGCGGCAGCAGGCGGGGAAATTTTGGCCTGCGGGGGCGGTGATGTCTGAGCAGGTGCCAAAAAGGCAGGCTAAAACCCAAAGCGGAAGTGTAAGTGAAAATCCCTTCTTCCGGCGGAGGAAGAAACTTGTCTATCCGAAATTAAGGTTACTTTTCCCAACTCAACGTTGCCAGACACCGAGCAATAGTCCGCTAATTTTCAATCTGTGTACTTTATCTGCTTAAATGTAGCAGGTACAGAAAATAAAGCTTCCCCGAAACAACAATAATTGAGAACATATTTCAGGAGTTTATTTTTAATTTGATTGCTTTGACATGCAAGCTACCAGGAGCTGAAATATTTACAAGGATAATTAAATTAAACTACAGATCAGGGGAATTTCTGTTTTATCGCCGCATAGTGTGGCTTTTCATCCAGCTCAAACCCTTTGTACGTTTACGTTTTTGTGAAAAAATAGTTGGGGGAATTAGTTACAGAATGCAACATTGGTTGGCAAACAGCAAAAGAGCAGGAGTCTTTTGTAAAAAAAAAATGAAAAATAAGTTCATTTGTTTCAAAAGCCAGAGTGTTTTCGGTTACCTTCTTGAAGCCAAAAGGGAATTCGCGCTTCCCTGGCCGCTTTCCTTTCATGGCACTTTATAAATTATGATTTAGCCCCGATAGCTGGCGAAAGCGCCTGTGTTGCCAACAAGTTGCCACCAACAACAGGCAGATTACATCCTTATCGACGTTGTAGACGCCTCATTTGGTTTATAAATGGGTGCAAGAGGCACGGAAAAAGCACAGGAAACAAACAAAAAATAATGCGAGCGGTAAGAGAAAGGCAGAGTTGTCGTATCTTGCGAAAATATCAATTACAATTAAATAGATTAAACCTTATCATGCAACAACTGTCGCACAAGTGTCCCGAGCCAGGACGAGGATGTCGGCAAGGAGCGGGGTCGAAGTGGAGCGGGGGGTGGTGGCAGGAGAGGAAGGAAACAAGCGGCAGAACAGGCAAACAAACTCACTTTTGGGAGGGGCTGGAAGGTGGGTGGGTGGTTGTTCGTAGAAAGGACATGCCAGGCTGAGACAAGCACAAACCAATATAAACATACACACACACACACACACACATACACAGCGCAACAGTGAAAACGCATCGCAAGATTAATGAACGTACAAAAGTTTAGAGACAATGACGACGCCGCCGACAACAGACAAGAACAACGACAACGACAACAGCAACAACAACGACAACAACAACACCAACAAGAGGTCCAATGAAAACCGGCAGCAACACCATGACATGGCCAGGACAACAACAATGGCAGCCGGAAAAGCGTCGGGAAAAATGAGGGAGCAAAATATATGGCATACACTTAGGCGCGCCAAGTCGGTAAGTCGTGCAAATTTATTTTGGCGTAAATTTCATTTCACTAATCGAATCGATTCTTATGCGTTCCATTTCATTTTCAGCTTACTGACTTCTTGCCTATCTCGCCCGTCTGATTTCCCCATTTTCCCATTTCCCCCTTGTTGAAGAACAACTGGGGCGATACACTGTGCATTGGGCTAGGTCAGCGGATCGGAATGTGGATGTTTGGAGCCGTTTGGGCTCCAACAGACAGAGTGGAGGACACTCGAACCCCCCGGACACGAAGCCACTCTTTCAAATGCTAATGAAATCGGCGACAAGTGCATAACTTAATTGGTTTCAGCAGAATATGCAAGTGTAATACATATTCTTGGTTCATTCAAGTCTAAGACTAAATACCAAACGTTCATCTTTTGAAGTAACTGCGGATTTTCCTACATTTCCATAGCAGCGATTAAAGCCAAGAAATGTGGAAATGTATCTGGAATGCGCAGCTCCACCTGCTTTAAGACCCAACTTTTTGAGTGCCGTACACATCGTGAAGTTTATGGCTTTTTCAAGCGACCCACTTAGTAGCCCGAGTGAAACTCATCATCAGCATTGTTTCAGCTTGTAGTTTTTCCATCCCCAGCTGCCCCTCACCACACAATTAAAATGTCAGCCAAAGTGTCCCCAGGAATTTGTTTGAAATAGCATAAATATCCCCAGCTACACACTTTTCCGAGGCCCCCAACTTCCCTTCGCCGCTTTCGTTTTTGCCGTGAAGCATCCGCTTGAGTTTCCGCTACAAAACGCACATACCATCGGCCATGTTTTTCATTTTCCAGACAGCTCCATCAGCATCGCTTTTCCTTTCTTTTCCGATTCAAAGTGACTATTTTTTGCTGGCCTTTTCTTGTTCAGTCGTTTTGGCTTATTAAACATTTATTGTGTTTGCTGAGCTTCCGCTACAATTTGTTTTCGGGCTTCCTGTAAAGATTTTAGCCCCGTTTTCCTTGGCTATTGTCCCTACGATTTCACCGCGTAGCTCCTTATTGTAAATCCGTCAACAACTTGGCACTCGCTTTTGGCCCCAGTACCTGAAAGTCTTATGTGTCCCAAGTGAGCAGACATCGAGGTTTAACACCGTTGAATGGGATTTTACCATCGTATACATTTGCAAAAAGGTTTCGACCTGCGGAACATCGCAACAGATCCTCCTGGCGTTTAAAGCTTTAAGCATGCAACAAATCGAAAAGAATTTCTTAAAGAACTAAAAACCCAACCCAGATTATGTAGTACACCAAAGGTACAAGTGCCCAAAACTAATTGCCAGAAGGGATACAGCTTAAATTATTCGGCTGATCAATTCACAATTAAGAGCGTTTTAGAAAGCAATGCAAAAACTCTTGACATCATCGCCGATTTGGAAATAAATGTTTGGCCGAAATACCCATTGGCATACATGTGAAATAAGCCAAATGAGCGCACTGCATGGCAAATGTAACAAACCAAAAAGAAAACTCTGATAAGGCGCTCCTAATAGACAACTCAATGCAGACACAGAAAAATAATAGCGCAATTTGTGTGAGCAACAAGAAAATATATGGCCATGCATTTTTTATGAATTTTTTCCTGGAAAGCGACGAAAAAATAAACTGAAAAGCGAGAGCGTCAAAACAGCAAAGCGGCAATGGGGAAAAGCGGTAGCAAAGCGAAAACAATTTAAGTGTCCTTCGGTTGCCACGCTAAACGCCTTCAATTTAACGCCAGACACACGCCACAGGGGCTGACAGCAGGGGGGGCAGGGGTGCTGTGTTCTGAGGGGGTCCTGAGAGTCCTGTAAGAGTGCGAGTGCGAGTGCGTGTGTGTGTGTGAGGTGATGCCGCAATGCGTGTTGACCGCCAACGCCGCTTTTGCCGCCACTTTAAAAATCTGAACGCATGTGAATGGCATCCGAAAGTATGCTACAGCGAAAATCACTTAAGCGTTGAAAATTTGTACTGCAAAAAAGGAGCACGGCGCACTGAAAGTTTCCCAAATGTTGATGAGGTGTGGGTAGCAGCAACAACTGCAATGTCTAGCGAGAAGGTAACAGAACTTTCAGTCAAGAAAAACATAAAACTTTCGCCCGATGCGGAGCCAACCTTTCACTCTTTACCACCCTCCAAAAACAACCAACTCTTACTCATTTATAGTATGGAGATGTTAAGTAGCTTCTTCAAGTATGTGTGCGCGTGGGGACTCCTTATGCATATGTATGTGCACTGGCAGCAATAAAGTGAACAGGGTATATCAAAGGTAATGGATAAGGAGTGGTAAGAACGTTTTGAATGTGCGAGTTACTTGGCCTATCCAAATATATTCATTCTACACTAGAACAGGTGCTGTTACCCGTCGGGTGGAAGCCATTTCTCTCAGTGTAGGCGGCGGGCTGGCAGCAAGTGCACTCTGCAATTATGATAACATGTGCGCCCTCGCCGCCTTCTGTCCCCCAGAAGTTGCTTCCTTTGGGCCTCTGCCTCTGCCTCTGCCTGCTGCCGCTGCCAACAAAACAAGTTAATAGTTTTTACGCAAAATTTTCTCAACAGGCAGCTGCCTTGTTTCAGGTTTTTGCGGCATGTTGAGCTTTGTTCGGTGCAGCTTCCACTGGTGAAAGTGCATTTGCTGCTCTGGTTTGCCCTGAGCCCTTCAAAATGTGGATTTTTCCCTTTACTGCATGTCGTGCCGTATTATTGTTGAAGTATAATTACGTTATAAAATATGGGGTGGTTGTACAGATGCTGTTACTTACGGGTTCCGAGCAATATCCTCTCAATGGCTTGAATCGACTGCTGCCTATGCCTATCATTACCATATGATGATCCCGAAAAGAGCTATTTTCGCATGCCATGTTTCGTGCACTGCGCTTGAACTGAAATGTTTTGATGAAGGATTCGAAATGGTTGCAAGCTTAATGCGGGGAAATTAGCCAAAGCTTTGCCAGACTCACGAACCATTGACCCCAATCATTCCCTACACTTGTTCACTTCACCGCCTTGCGACCTCGGTAAAAATGTCGTTCGCTCTTTGGAAAATACCAAAAAGTTGTTACAAAAAAAGGAAGGCAAACGAAATGAGAGGGAAAACTTCTGTGCAAACATTTCCCATTCAACTTCGTTCCTTTGAAGCCGAACAATCCCAAGGCCTTTTGCAGCCACTTGTTGTGGGCTGACTGGGCTGAAATGGGCTGAAAGGGGGTGGAGCTGAGGATGGCTGTGGGAGTTGGGGCATGGCCAAAACACATGTAGACCTCGCCCGCTGCTTTCAAGTAACAAGTATGGCAGGCGAAATAAACTGTCAGATAGGAAAATTCGAACAAAAAATGATGTGAAAACAAATTACAATTTAACCGAAAATACTGGCCACAAAAAACGTTGGGAAATTGCGACAAGGATTACCATAAATGGCCTACCTACCCGGTAGCAAAAAGTGATTGTGCAAGAGCTCAACCAGCAATAACAAGTACCGAAAACTGTTGAAAAGTTTTAAGTGCAGAATTTATAGCTACCGATTTGTTGTCTGGCCCTGGTGCTCGCTTTTTGGTCCACCCCAATCCGCTGGCACTTAGTGCTTGAGCAAAATCAATACGGCTGAAAAGCGCATAATGAGTGTGCCGTCGTGTGTGTGCCTACATTTTGAAAATATGAAAAGTCGGGGAAAGTTTATGGCAAATGAGTAATGAGTGGCTGAGCCCGGGCGACTTCTGCTCCTCGAAAATGATTGCCCACTGGCTCTAAGCCGCAATTCGGAAACGAAAGGCAAGCCACCAAACGTTAAGTTCAGGCCAAGTGGAAACCGGCATTCTGTGAATTGTTTTATATTTGTTTTTTATATTACTCAATCCCATACAAGTTAGCACGCGTTCCAATTGAGATCCAAAAGGCTGGAGTCAGGTCTTAATTGTTACAGATGTAGCTTACCAAATCACAAATTTAAGTAGTCATAGTAGCATTGCACATAAATGAAATCAAAGTGTTTATTTTACATTTTCAGAGAAACATCAGATTGAAATTGCAGTTCATCCACTTAGCTATTTGTGATACAAAATAATTTGTTTGAGGAAAGCTACTTGTGGGCACTTAAGCATGTTGCAAGCCGCATTTGTTGATTCCCTTTTTTTTCAATTAGTTGCTGTTTTACTCTAAACTTTGTCGAGCACTTGAAAACTTTTTGCTTGACATTTAAATGCGTGCACACATGCCCAGGCTCATACGTGTGTGTGGAAATACGAGTGTGTGCACTGGTCGTGTGAATTAATTAATTAAATAAGAGATGGGCGGGGCTTAATTGGCAGCCCTGGCTTCGAGTTCTGTATTTACTCCGATCAACTTAATTCAATTAGCGTTCAGTCAAGGGCCAACCTGCAAAAATCCGCGACTTTATACCAGCGCTAACTTAACTTAATTAATTTCAATTTGATTGACGATGGCTTATATGCCATTGCAAACAAAATACACAAAACATAATGGCCAGCAGGTAGGTAAATCAAGGCGTGGTAAGTAAGTAAGTGATTATTTCATAAATGGCTTTTACTATTTACATACATTCAAAGCCAAGTGTTTAGGCCATAAATAAAGTCGGGCTCAGTACCGATTTGAGTAATGAGCCCACAAGAAGTAAAAGACCTTTGGCTTACTCAAACTTTTGGTGCCACCCCGATTCTGACACAATCACAATCAAAGTCGACACAGCTTCTCGCTTTATCTGCCACTCGGGCAGAGGCACGCAGAAATATATTATGTTGTGCAGAACAAAATGGGGGGAATAAGAGTAAGAAATTAAAAAGTGACGTTGAGTTTGAGGTTGTGTTTTATGTCTGGCACTTCGAACGCCCCGCCGCGCAAATCGAGGAGTTTCGAGCATCACTCGCAAACCTGTTACAAGGATGCAGTGGCGCCGGGAGGTCGGGAGTTCAAAACGGCTGATTACATTTGAATCCCTCATAACTGTCAGAAAGTAACTTGGCTGCAGACTGGACTGCTCGTGGCCTGCCATCGGCAACGTGGCGTATGCGCAATGTGGGGAGCGGCGCAGCAGCGGTGGCCAGGGACGAGTTGCTGTCATTATGTCATAAACACATGAGAAAGCCTGATGTTTATACTTAAAAAGCGCT